AAGAATAATAGCCAAAGGTGAGAAGGGGTATCCAATGGCAGGATGGGGTAGACTGTCTGCTTTGAAAGGAAAGGACAAGAAAAGAAAGAAGAAAAATCATTAGAGAAATATTTCTGATCTTTCTGATATTCTAAGACAAAGTGATCCTGCAAAATTAGTTCTCAAAAGGTTTTGAAGATTTTCAAAAATTTATTTCCTTGCTGCAGAAAAGCCTAATGAACACAAACTTGAAAGTATGTGCATACTTTTCATCTCCTTTGGATTTTGAAATTGATAGTAAACTCTTGAATCTGATGGACAGACATGAAGGGGCCTTTACATGCTGCATGTCAATAATGAACTATCACAGAAACAGACAAAGCATACCTAGGACCAGGCAGAGGCATGTATATTGTAAAGGAAAACAGCCACAAGAAATGAGTTCTTTGGCCTGGAAGAGAGGGAAGAAGATCTTTTACGTGGAGCCTATAAGGCACAGAGAAACCCGACAGGAATGATGAAAAATCAGTGTTACAAAGTTGAAGGTATGAGTCAGGGATGCAGAAGTCACAGAAGAAAGATGGAAGGAAGAGTTATCAAAGGCTTTAAATAGTATTAGTGTGTTGGTAAGCAGAGCATCAAAAATAAGAAAGGTCAGTTACAGTATGACCTATTCATATTCACATATGCTATTTTGGTACCTTCACTTTGAATAACTGCAAGCATTATTTGTGGGACCTGTTAATTCAGGGACAGAGATGATTGCTTTGTGGAATAAAATTATTAGTTTGCTTTGACACTTTTAATTTCATTGCAGCATAACACATGAAACTCAACAAAAGCCCATAATAAACGTAATTTTTCTGATGACTGCAGTATTTAACTAGAACAGGTGAAATTAAAGTCTCTAAGTCGTAAGTGACACACTTTTCAATACCTGAACCGTAGCCTGTTAATGTCCCTATAACATTTACACATTAATAGAATTTGCCTTTGCAACCTCAGGAATATTTCCAATAATGGTGCATATAATTTATTCCCAAAACCTGCGTGCCTAACTGCTGACTCAAATGCTTACTGTCTTTGAGCCATTTGAAGCAGAAATAAACGGCAATAGAAAGGAGTAAGTCTGTAAAGAGAGATGGAAAAACACCTCCTGCCATTGTAGGTCTTTGGAAAAAAGTTTGTAAGTCAGTAGCCATTGTCCTTGCATGCGTGCACTGACACAACAAGGTCGTCTTCTGCAATATCACTCTGTCAGCATTGCCCAAATTTTTAGTTACAGTAGGAAAATAAGGAAATAAATACACTTTTAAATCAACCCACCCACAGCACCTTAGATAATTTGAGGAACATGTCAAGATTGTCCTTCTCATAACCTTTGTTTGGTAACAACATTAAATATATCAAACTATGTGTGCTTTTTTACATTCACTTATGCTCTTTGATTCAGTCCTGTACTGTTTTCTCTTAACTTGTAGAGGCAGAGCATGAGACTAACTTGGAAGCAAATGCATATACACACATATACAGGGTTGATGTTTGTTTGTATTAAGGCCCCTCTGCGCAGTGGAAGGAGAGCATAAAATATATGCAGATTACATCTCAATTTTAGGATTTTCACCTTAAAATATAAAGAGTTCCCTGTAACAGACGGAGCAGTTTACAGAATTTATTTATGGCATTCACAGTGTACGCATGACTACAGTTTCTAGGTGCCATTGTGTAACGTGCAACTCTTAAGCAAATATATTTTCTGTAGTTATTTCAGAACTACATGCTGCTTTAAACTCTGAACTAATTAACAAAGGTAATGCTTCCGCGTACTGTGCATCATGCGCTTTATTTCTAATGCGGTGCATTAACTTTTTACATTTTAAAGGTGGGTACTTCAACTAATTGCATGCAGCTGCAAGTTAACTCTCATTACCTGATCTTGGGATTTCTTTTTCTTCTTTTTCTTCCCCCAGCATCCTGAACTCTCGGCATCTTTTCCATTGGTATCACCGCACAGTAATCCATCAAGTTCATCTGTTCCCATCTGCTGTCCCTGAGATGTTTCTGCAGCTAGCCTGTATGAGAGGTTCCTCAAAATGCACACACAGTTTTCAACGGTCTGAAAAGTATGACAAAAAAAGAAATACACATGCACGCACACACACACAAGAAAAAAGGTTAAAAATCCTTCCCTTGTTCACTCTGTATACAAAGCAGAAGAAATATCAGTTATCTTTGCGCATGCATTTGCCCAGCCCAATTCTTTTCTACTCATTTCCCAGTGCTTCCTAGGCAACCACTGCTTAAAAGATTCTGAAAAATTGGCAGGGCCTCACACTCTCCTTTCATGGGGGAAACAGCACTTTGGACAGTATTTTTTCATCAGTTTTTTTTAATCATGTTTCTGAACTTCATGCTGGAGTCCAACGTGAAAACAGAAGCTGAGGAGAAAAAGGTGTGATCAAGAGAACCTAAGCACACACAGAACGTAAACAAACTTCCACCTCAGTGAATAGAAAATGCTACAAACAGAAGAAGGTAATAGTATTTTTTACCACCAATAGCTTTTCTTTCTGGTTTCAACTCTATGAAAATTACCAGAACATGAGGCCTGAGTTTTGTTTTGCAAGTGCTTGTAGCAAAGTATGGTTATAAACAGCTCACGTTTTTCGAGTCTGAGAAGTAAGACTAGAAATCTCAGGAGTCTTCCTGCTTTTATCACTTTTAGCCAGGCTGCAAATAACTTGCAGACAGCCTTTTCCTTTCATCCATTTGTCCTCCAGATACATTGGGCCCTTCTGCATCTTGTGTGGTTTGGAACCCAGAAATGGAGTGAGCCCCACGCTAGACGCTAGAAACTGGATTAAAAAGTGATTTAGAGTCATTTATTTAAATATGTGGTTTAATTAAAATCACATTCTGCTTTGGGATAGGAGGCTACAATATTATTTTGTATTTAACTGCACAACTGCTTTATGTCTTACAGTTAAAAATCTCTAAAACAGGAGGGTAAAACTACCAAATAAGGGACAATCATTTTTCTGTCATGTCCTCATTTTTTCTCCATGTGACTTTGCCTACAGTTTTACAAGTCACAGCAGCTACAAATTAGTGTATAAATGCAACAATCTTTATTAAGAGGCAAAACAAGGAGCTGACTATACTCCTTATTTAGCCTTTTGACAGTAAAACAATCCTGAAATCAGTCTAGTCACCTATCAAGAAACTGCCGAAAGAGAAGCAGCTGAGCTGTGAGAAGGGGTGTAAACTGACTTCCTCCCTCCTCCTCCCATTCTGCTTCCATGAAGCCTTCTAAGTTTTACTTTCTATTCGACAAGCTGAGTCAGGAAGCTTTGAAACACCTCCCGATTCAGCTTTTTCGAAGCTAATGAAGCAAAAAATACCCCTGTGTTTCTAGAGTGGCTCTCCAGAAGGTGACCGGAAGGGGTGGGAGGTGGCTGGCACCAGACAGTGGTCGAGCTTGCTTTGAAGTCTCTTTCAAGTGTGGTACCTACCTTGTGGGCAGGTCTCCTTCACTTATTGACAACTTTTATTAATGGAAGACTGATTATAGAGTGCTGAGTTATGGTTAAAAAACAAAACAACACCTGCATGCTGCTAGTCCTGCACCCTGCGGTATGAACCTTTCATAACTCCTCTCTCCTTCCCTGAACATATAGGCAAAATCCATTCAGTTGGTTCAGACCAGCAACTATAAAGCTCTGAAGATTTTCCCTCTCCAATTTATAAATCCACACAGGTCTACAGACAACTATCTGTGAAAGATAATTCAGCCCAGCAGGCTTAAAAATTTTGCTATGTAGAAGGCTGCTCATCTACTATAAAATCCTTAGCGGAGTGCAAACGGACAAAGGTTGTTCTGGAGCAACAGCTGTAATTATTTCAGCACCTTATACTGAATGCAAAATATATTTGAAACTAGCATTTTTCTCCTCCTCTGAAATACTCTAATGTATTTAATGTATTAGAAATAATCTTCCATTTGTAAAGCCTTGAAGTCCTTTTATTTAACCAAGCATGTTCATATCCTAGGATTTTCAGAGAACTAAAGATTTATTTTTATGTCAGCTAAAACAGCTATTAGTAAAGAGCATTTGTTGATCCTGTTCAAAGAGGTAATGGTGATAGTACTGTGGAATTGCCTATCAATTGTCCCCCATCCCTTTTTTTAATGGCCACCACTCCACTCTTCTCCTTGTTAGCCCACCACGCTGTTTTTAGTTCTAGTTCCTACTGGGTACTTGATACTCCAGAGGTACGCTGAGTACCTGGATTTCTTTCTACTGAAAAGTCAAAGATGACAAACCTTACTATCAATTTCACTGCTCCCCAGAGCAGACTGGATGACGTAGAGCAATGCATCTGTCAGGCCATCACACTCCCTCATCCTTCTGCGGGCCTCCTCTCCAGCAGAGCTGACATTCCTGGTAGACAACAGCATAGCAAAGATTACCACTTTCACAACTTCATCATCCAATTCCCCTAGTAAAACATCTCACAATTAATATACATAGAAAATATTTGCTTATTTCTCCTTTCATCAGTTCAGAGCTGTGAACAATGAAGACAGCTGTGAATGGGCTCAGGAAACGTAACACAGAGGGGAACAAACCAAAATTTCAGCTCCTCTGCAAGACAGTGCTGAGGCCCCAGGCAGGGTGGCTCTACCTGAGCTGACAGAGTCTCAGCCTACCAGAATTTGGAGTGGGGCTGATCATTTTTCTTTCTTTCTTTTTTCAAAAGCCCAGTGGTCAGGGTTCTTAACCTGAGAGACTAATATTATCAAAGCATAACATAAAACACCTGGTATTGCTCAGGAATGGTAATCCTTCCCTCCTCTTGTTTCTCATTATACGTGAGTGTTTCCTTCTCTCACTCGTTTTGAGAGAATAGGAATGCCTCAGTCTCCTCTTTGGGTAATTATTCACTGATGAGTTGTTTTACATTGCAAAATTTAAAATGTCAGCTTATAATAATTTGTGCTTCTCAGAGGGCCAGAGCATTTTCCCAACGTATTTATAAAAATGGAACAAAGACAAAATTTACTGAATATCCCCGCATGTCATAAAGCTCAAAAAACTGAAGCACACATGTCTGAATGTGTACGTATATATTATCTATACTGGTTAACATCAAGCCTTCTGAGAAAAATTGCATCGAAATTTGCAGTTTGGAAATTCCAGTTTGGAAATGACGGAATTAGCAATCTTAGGAACGGGGTAAAACTTTTCAGATAAGTCTCCCATGACAGGAGCAGACATCCCTCTGTTGAGGTGCTCCTCTCTCCCCACTCCTAAAGTGAACAGAAGGGAAGAACAGAGAACATCTCACACCAGCCCTAAGTGCTTGATACCAATGCATGCAAACAGCAGGGAGAAGACTTGTCTCTTTGGCTGGGGGAGGAGATCAAGGCACTTTCTTCCCCTTATGCCATCTTCAGTTGCTTTTGCAATAAAGATGGAAAGAGCTTGGGAAGTGGGAATGAATTCTAGATAGAGGAAGGTGAGACAAATTAAGGATAGATTTACTTTCAATTCTTTCTTTGCTCTCTCTACTTCTTTCTGTCCTAAGGGAAACCACAAAGCACCAAAGAATTTTCCTGTTCAAACCACCTTGGCACTGGACATTCCCTTAGCCCCTCCAATGCAGGTTCCTAATTGATTCCACTCCCTAAATGTACATGGTTTTTCATCTATACTTGCATCCCCACACAGTCCTAATTAGTTCTACTCTCCCACACTGCTGCTCTGATTAATTCAATACTGCTCCCTTAACCTGTGCAGATAGCCCCATTACAACACACAGCCCAGGAACGTGATATATATTTCTTTTATCTCCTTAGCATACAATTGTACTGCTTCCCATTCTCCTTGAGACTGCTTAGTTAACCCTGCGCTGATGTATCAGAAATGTCCTCTCCGTAATGGCTTGCAAGTTTTGTGTTGTTTTGTTCTTTTTCTGGCCCCTGGACTCAATGCCTCTTCTCTCTGTTGCTACAGGAGCAGCAGACGTAGACCCTTTTTCCAGCTCAGGAAGAAACCCTCAGAACCTTTTTTCATCTAGAAAGTCCAGTGTAAAGAACATCAACCAGAAAAGGTCTTCCACTGTCTCCCAGTTTGAGGTGATGGAAACCTTTTGACTTCCCCTCTAATTGAAGGAAATCAGAAACTAGAATTACAGAGCATGATTTTCCCCAAATCGTGCCCATGCCCTACATCTGCAGTGCTGGAGACTCTGACTGAGACGTATTTTGAGTAGACAGTCACCTTATTAAGGGCAACAGCTACGCCTGAAATTCCCGAGCCACAACACATGCAGAAAAAGCAGTGTCATGGATCTGAAAAATCCAAGGGCGTGGGAGGATGTCAAGGGCATTAGTGGACTTCCTTCTGAAACTCTACTCTCCTACCCTCCAAGAGATGAAGAAAAAGAAAAAGACATGGCTGTACCCAGCCCTAAAAGAATATTGCACGTGGAATAACTGCACAAATTACAATAGGAGGATGCTGAAGAAGTGTTCTCTGCACCCCACTTTTCCTCGCCCCACTATCCAAGAAATACCTGAAATATGACTGACTATCTTTAAACAGAACTTACATTCATATTAACATTTCGTATTAACATTATCTATCCGGGCTTCTTCATTTGCTGCTGTTACATATACCAACTGCAAGTTTTTAAAATATACAGACTTACACATCAGTAGAAACACAGAGATACATTCTCCCTGATCTTTTCATAGGGGTGATTTCTCATGCTCTCTAGCATGGCAAAGTGCATGTCGCATTGACTCTGCAGAGCCAGAGTCAGCTGAACGACCAGCGGCCATTCAGCTCCTCTCCAAGCTCCACAGAAACGCCTCCTCCACAAGATAGCAATACAGACATCCTTATATGAGGATCCGTATAAGGCAGATAGCCATGAGCTATCTGCCTTATTTATTTCGAGATAAACAAACAATATGAGATCTATATACAAAGCAGTACAGATATACTAGGGACGCATCCTTCACGGAAGACCCACTTCTTAGTTCCGTCTAGAAGAGCTCTTCAGTTCAGTTCCTCTGCTTATCATCCTTCCCCGTTATGCTCCAGTTGGTTCTGGAGTCACAAGGTGGGTAAGATGAATTCCCATGACCCCTTTTCCTTTTCTCCTAAAACTCTCTGTTTAGTTGCAGCACTAGATCCTGAATACAGTTCATAGTTACCAACAGCTCTCCGCGGATCTAGCACATTAATTTAGATGTGAAAAGCTTAAGAAGGAAGACAACTTCAAACTTCGCATCAACATTTTGGTAGAAATGATCATCTGATTATTTAAAAAGAAATGCACCCTGTTATCTAATTATTCCCATTTCACCTTTATTGAAGGAAGCATACCAACAGCTCTGTAAATGACTGATAACAGACCTTTCATGGATGGCCTCTAATATCACCACACTAAGGCAATGTAGTTTTGCAAGAAAGTTCCGGTTTCCTTGAGCTGTCAAAGAAAACACTCTGCCATCTTAATTTTCTTATATCTAGCTGTTTACTCCAACATGCTGTAGCTGGCAGCATGACAGGGATTAAGACGTGATTTGTCATTTGTAAATTTACAAGTCACTGTGGAAACCTTAAAGTGGAGCACTGGTATTATATCTACTCTTGGTAAGACATCTCACTAAGTAAGCACCTACTTTTTCCAGTACTACTTCCTACTTTTCAGTATCCAAACTGAAACCCCGTTTTATGATGGTAATTATAATATTGGTATATTACAATATTGATGTATTGGTTTTCTGCCAGTACATTTTAAAAAAAATATGGAGATATGATGCACAGGTTTTCAAGAACAATTTAATTGTCCCTCATAAAAGCAGCCACAGAAAAAGCTTGAATGCCTGGTAAGTTCTGCTACTTCATGGAAGTACAAACTGCCACTTGGGAGCAATGCCAGAGCAGAACTGCCACTGGGAGCAATGTTAACACTTTGCTAAATGTTTTCATATCCAGAGAGAATGTCTCAAAATTTTAAGTATCTACAGAGGCACCTGCCCTCCCTTAGGCGTGCTCAGGTCACATCTAGCAGTTTCACCCTTCCTGTATCAGCAACAGGTCTGCAGATTGCAGATCTCACTGCTATCATGTAGGATAATCTTTGAGAACAAACTATCTTTTAGCAAAGATGAAATTGAGATGGATCCTCCTCAAGGCCCCTTAATAAAAAGAGAAAGCATGTTTAACAGCTAGTATATGTAGCATATCTGCATGTTACATTTTTGCTGTGGACCGGCAAAGAAAGGACAGGCAGGAAGGATAATATCCTAAAGTAGGCAAAACTCAGAAGTCATCTTTATCAAGAAACTTCAGATGAGTCCAAAGGATAGCTTTAATCTAAAAAGTTTTGTGCAAGAGGGATAAATTTTAACAGTTTCAATCTTTTTAGTCCTTCTAGTTGATGTAATAGCCACGAAAAAAGAGTTTCCCAGAGGGGGAAAAGTTTATACAGATCAGGAACTCAAAAAAACCTCCATTAATGTATGAACCAAGTCTATGTTTCACAAGCAAAAGCCCCTCAGGAGAATACTGAATAACTGAGTCGCAATTGAGTGGAAAAAATGCCCAAGAATCATTCTGAGTGAGGCAGCAGGCAGAAATTTCTATTCAGCGCATATTCATTGAGCTAATGGAACGTCCCATATTTTAATATCCTTCCCATCCCTCCCCGACACTTTCCTCACTGGAATCATACCTGAAAGAGCCTGTTCAGGAGGCTGTAACCCATCTGCATATTATACTGAAAGTCCAGTCCATTTAGCTACAAATATATGCTCAATGAATAATTTCCTGTTATTACTAAGACTGCACACCAGAAGAGCTTCAGTCCTAAGGGCCATCCTGGCATCATGCAGTGAACTACGAAGATGTCAGGCTTGGACAGAACCCCTTTTTTGAGTTGTTCAGTATGAACTCTGCAATGTACTGTGAAGTGTGTAGGGACCTGCTCTGAGAGGAGGTCTTGAAGCCAGGATTGCCTGGTTCAACTACCTTGAGGTATTGAAAATTACCCTGGTAACACGCTGTGCTACCTGTATCCGAAACAAACCTGGGTTAAAGTGGAATGAAGGAGAGACACTTGGTAGAAAGGCCGAGCAGGGAGAGTCAGGGGACTAGGAGCATCTGAGAGAGAATCATGGAAATGTGCAGATCCTTGAGGAGAGAGCCCGGCACTCCTGGTTCTCCTGAGGTACAAAGAGATTGACTCTTCAATGTTCTCAGCGCTAGCAAATTCATGAAATGTGGTCTTCTTGGCTTCCCACATGTGATTTGGTTGTTTTTTTCTTGTTATCTTCTAAAGGACTATCCTTTAGAGCATTCGGTGATCCCAGAAGGAAAACTGTCAACAAGCTGTTATGTTTTCTTATACCGCTCCCAGTGATCAC